CCAATTCTGGTTATCAAGGCCATTATTGGATCTTTAAAAAACCTTTTCTTTTTCCAATATTTTGAGTAAAATATTTGTGGCGACTCCATGAACCTATTTTCAAAACCATTAATTAAGGATTAGTCTGGTGTCCGGACATTCCTTAATTAATGAGACTTTTATAAAGATGTCTAAACCATAGGTCGCAAGATCGGAAATTTTCGGGTTGCGACAGGTCGCATTCCAGTGATGTATTGAGCTATTTCAGGTGTACCTTGAGTCACCAGTGATGTATTGAGCTATTCCAAGTGTGTCGCTTAGACCGCATGCCAGAGATGTATTGAGCTATTATAGGTGTACCTTTGGTCACCAGTGATGTATTGATCATGAATGAACATGCCCCTAGGTATGTTGCTGTAGTAGCATACCAGTGATGAGAAATGTGCAACTTCCATATGGCGCCACATGCATGCATTTATGAGTCGATTCCATGACATTATTGCATGATAAGTGAATGTATATGTATTCTAATGTATCTATAACTTGAGAGTTATGCTTGGTTATGTGTAACTTGTGTGGTATTTGTTATGATTATGTGTGTGTTGCTTAACATTTATTTCTACATCTAAACCAGAGTGAGATGTTTCTTACTCCCTTGTTGCTCTATGTGTATTTTTATTGTGTTGTAGATGATCATCAACATAAGGATATTGGTGATGAAGTTTAAGTCTCATTGTGGGGTATGCTCTGTTAGGACATGTGACATCGAGACTTAGTTAGGATTAGGATTGGAGTTTGATTACTGTTATTGTGTTTTGGAAAGATTAATGTTTTATTTTGTCATCATTTCTGCATTGGACTACGATATGTGAAATATGAATGTGAACTCTCTATCTATGTGTTTTGGAACCTTGTTTTGATTAAGAAAGTTTTATTTACTCAGAAATGTACTTTATATTTATTGTGTATTATGTATGTGGGGTAAAGGGTGTCACAAGGTGCTATAGGGGTGGCGTGAGCATGGCATAGTGTGGGACGTGTGAGACAATTAACACGTATGTTGACGTGGCATGAACTTGGGAAAGAGATGCTACAGGGGTGGCGTGAGCATGGCATAATATTAATTACAAGATTTGTGTGTGGCAATTAGTACTTATGTTGGTGTGGCACGACCTTGGGCACGAGATGCTACAAGGGTGGCGTGAGCTTAATATAGTACAAAATATATGATGTAATGGATTGATGTGATTGAGAATTGTGATGTAAAGATGATGCATGATTGATAAAATTATGATATGTAGAAATGGTTGTAAATACCTCATTATGTAATGAGTTATGATGAGATTGCACCAGTGTGTCTGTATGTGCTTTACATTTAGATGTTTCCTTTTCTCACTGTACAGTTTATGAATGTTTTAGGTGAGGAAGATCCGGCTATGAGTGGCATCCAGAATGCCAATAGTTGAGTTGTGGGTGTTCTATGATATTGTGACATCGGGGCAGAGGATTTCTATTACATGAGTTTTTATATGTATTTGGAGTTATACTTATTCTTTTGAAAATAATTTGTAAACTATGACACCCTCTACCCGACATACATAATTATACAATAAATAGAGATAAATAAAAACCTTCTTAAATAAAATCCAGTCTCTAACCATATAAGGGTAAAGAGCTCACCTTCATAAAACATAAATCATAGTCTAATGTGGAAATTACAAAAGGATAAAATTAAGGTCTTTTAATTAATTTAACAAAAGTAGCATTCTAAGTTAATCCTAACTATGTCCCGATGTCACATATTCTATCAAAGCACGCCCAACTGAAGCCTAAGCTTCATCACCAACATCCTCATGTTGATTGTCATCTACAGCACAATAGAAGACACACATAAAACAAATAGGGGAGTGAGAAACATCTCACTCAGGTTAAGGTGTAAAAATAACGGTCAGGCAGCACACACATAAATCATAACAAAGCACAACACAAAATACAGGTTAATCAAGCACAACTCAAGTCATACATACATTAGTAGCACATACATAGTCACTCATTATGCAATGATGCCATTGACTCGACTGACAAATTCATGCATGTGGCGCCAGTCACATATCACATGGTGCATTGCCGCTAGCAATACACGTAGAGTAGTCTAGGAGTACATGTCGGGTCACACCCTCTGCGCACTCTCACTAGAAGAACATACTACCAGGGTCTAGTCGGGATAGCTAAGCCGCGTAAGATTCATTCCATGCACGCAATGGGCGAGACTGGGACTTACAAATCGAGTTATCCTTAAGGGCTAATCCCCAAGCTTTTACACAAGGGGCCTTCCCTGGCGGTGTATTCCATATCATACACTTAAAACATTTATGCACATGATGCATGTCACATATTCACACTTCATTGACTCATCATTTCACTTGTCATAGTTTCTCATATATCATGTCTCATTATAACATATCATCATGTCTCGTGTCTCATTCACTTTTCACATTGTCTCATCATATTCACATAGTCTCATACAAGAAACTTATCATAGATATATACATCAGAATAGCACATAAACCATACCAAGAAATTATCCAACATCATACACATTCAATTTGCAATTCATAACAAATGAAGCATAATGGTCATAAATCCAACTTCACGAGTTCACGCATTTTTTTTACAACTAGCTAGTTAATATAATATTTCAATCGGTCAAAACACTCCAAATATTATCCAAAACACGAATCCATCATCAATTTTACATATAATGTCTCAAAATTCATTCAAAGAAATATCCCTAATTTCACTTCATAGGGTTTCCCACGGAAACTCACAGAGCACTCTAATTCATATAAAAAATTATCTATTTTGGAAATCAAACACATTCACACCCAGCAAACATCAAGGAACACAATAGAAAACTCAGATGTCAAAACCAAAAACATTAAAAATTTGTCTATTTCTCATAGGATTCTCTCAAGAACCCACAGAGCACTCTAATTCATATCAAAACTTATCTAATTTTGAAATCAAACACATATTTACACTCAACATCACACAAGAAATGCAACAAAACATTCAGAGAGAAAAAAAAAGCTTTCATATTTTTCCTGTTCCTAGAAGCATGCATCAAGCAAGGGATTGAGGGCTAATCCTGCTACCTAACAATTATTCTCACACCCTTGAGCGAGGTTTCTCACACCCTTGAGCGAGGTTTCTCGCTCCCCCTTACCTGGATAAGCAGAAGATGAAGCTAGTGCTGAATCTGGTTGATCTTCTTCTCTTGGTTCTCCTTGGTCTTTAGAGAGTGTGTCAAGGAGCAGTACCAGAGTCTGCTATTTATAGATATTAGAAATGGCTAGAACGACCCATTTCAGATCCAAAACGACCCGTTCTAGATCTAGAACGACCCGTTTTGGATCCTTTCATCATGTGTTAAATTCGCATCTAGAACAGCTCGTTCTGGAGTTGAGTTTTAACTCATAACGATCATGTTTGGAACGACCCGTTTTTAAACCAGAACGATCTGTTCCTAACTAGGGTTATAGGCCTTTTTGGTTGTTTGGAACACCCAGTTTCAATTTGGGAACGACCCATTCCCAACTAGGTTTATAGGCCTTTTTTAGTAGTTTGGAACGGCTGGTTCCAGTTTGGGAACGACCCATTCTAGGCTATTAAATCACCCTTATTAGACTTTGGGCCTTCATATAATATGTGAAAATTAGGGTGTTATATAAACTTTTAAGTTTTATTTTCCAAGTTTTATTTTCAATTATTTTGGATATTGAAGAACATTTATGAAGGTTTTATATGAACCCTTTTACCAATTAAAAATTTTATTTCTTTATTTATTTATATTATTATAATAGATGTGTTGGGGTAGTAAGGGCGTCACAAAGTTTGTTATTAGTCTCAATAAATAATGAACATTTGATGAATATAAGATAAATTATATGTTTCATCTGATTTATATCATCATATAAATGATCTACATGTTACACTTTTATATGATAAGTATTTTTAAAGATATTTTTTAAGACGTTTTTTAAGATATTCTTTTGTAAAAATGTTTCGTTTGTTAATATTAAACTCTAAAACTTGAAGGGTCTAAAATCATCTTTTGACTTAACATAACCCTATATATTTTATAAAATAATGAAAAAATATATTATATTAATATTAACAATGATATTATTCCAAATTTGATATTTTAAAGAAAAAAAATAAAGTTATAAGTTTTTCTTTTTATATAATAGAGGAATGTGGATTTTTTTGGGGGTGGGGAAGAGAGATAAAAAAAATTGGAAGAGAAAAAAATTAGAAAAAGGAAAAAAAATATAGAGAAGCAAAAAATTTTGGGGAATGAAACAAAAATTTTTGGATGGAATAATGAAAAAAATATATATAACTGGTTTTTAGTGAAAAATTGAAAAATAAAATAAAAATTATTTATGTTGATGACAAGATTCGAACTTACGTATTTCTCAATAAATTTCCATATAAACTAAGTAATAAGTTATATTGGACAACTTATCAAATAAGTTCAAAAAATATCTATGAGCTATTCATAAGATATTTTATGAGTTTGTTTTTAATACTCTTATAAACACTTATAAAATAAAATAAGTATAAATAAGTTGTTTATAAATTTTGCCAAACGAGACCATAGAGTTTGATTCAATTCATAAATAATTAAGTTAAATAAAAAGTTAAATAATCTCTACATACAAAATGCTCTGGTCAAAGAATAACTCCTAAAATTAAATATAATAATCATTTGCGTTTAACATATAAAAATCAATAAATTTTATATATTAGATAAATTTACAACACAAGTTTTTTTTATATATATTTTTAATTTATTTTTAAAATATTAAAACATTTATAAATAAATATAATAAATAAAAAATAAATTAGATAAGAAATCCAAAGAATCTCTAAAAACTTTCCTGAAGAATATCTTCTTAAACTACTCTTGTGGATGATAGTCATTCACACAAACAATTTAAAAATGAAGCAAATTGAATTTATAAAAGTTCAGATAAATTGTCAAGTATGGCATCCACATCCGGAGTTATAGTAACATGTTTGCTGATCTCCCCAATTTTGAAACATTGATTTTTAGCAGTATTAATAGCAGCCAAATCTTGGGCAAATGCACACTTCATACCAGAGGAAACCTGCATTCATTTTTAGGGTGAGTTAGTGAGATTTCCAAAAAGTGAACAACTAAAATTGATTTTATATGTCATAACTTATATGATATAACTCTTGATAATCTTGTAATCAGAGATGACAAAATAAATTTAATCGACAAATAAATCCATCAAGTCATTTTTTTTATATTTATAGAAATTTGTAATAAATTTAAAACTTGAGTACCATATATCAATTTGTAACAACTAATCATTGTCAAGAAATTGTTTTCTACAAACTTAAAGTTAGTCCACCATTAAAAATGAGACCTTAAATATAATATATTATAATTTAAAATTTTATAATATACTCTCTTTTTTCTAAATAATGAGATAAGAAATTTTTTTTTAACTAAACCCTATAAATTATAAATACAATTTAAATCATTTAACTAAAGTTGCTAATTTGGATCAGTATTAGAATAAAAGTCTTGAATTTTTTTTAAGCTCACTATCATTAAGTGGGCCAACCCAGTCTGCTACAATTTGCCATCCATGGTATGAACTTTATTTCCTTGATAAAACATTGTTATTGTAAATGCAATACTTACATCATAAAGGGTATTCCCAAGCTTCAACTTGATTGCACCACTTTTGTATACAAGCATTTTACCCATGAAACCAGTTGGTAACTCGTTCAACTTATAGAGTTTCTCCACTTTTTTTGAATCTCTAAGAGGTTTAGAGTTCACTTTAAGATCTTGGCTTGATGCAGCAGCTGATTCTTTAATCATAGGCAATGTTGGAGGCAAATTTATGAAGAACATATTTGCCTCTAAGTTCTCCTCCTATCAACAATTTGTTCAAAACAATATTATTGATTCATTCCAATTTAAAACAAGTTGAACCTAACAAATTTATTTCTTAAATTCCAATTTACTTACCAAAAGGCCAAGCTCCATTGCTGAATTTGATTCATTCTCATTGTAAGTTCTAGTCTCCCCAAATTCCTCCTCATCAAGATGCACTACCAGAACAAAGTAGTTATAGTCACTAGCCTAATAGATAATATTTCAGTGATAAACTAAATTCTTTACTCCAGTTAGTAAAAGAAAAATTAACTAATACTCTATGAATGTAACTAAAACCCCACAATTAATATTTTGTAAATCAGCAGAACACAGGTTTGATATTAAAAATTTGTTTGGATATAAGACAGAAATATTTTTAAAAATTTCTTTACTGAAAATATAGAATATTTTTTAATAAAAAAATTCTTAAAAATATTTTAAAATTTGTAGCGAAATAGACTCTAAATAAACTAGTTGACAACATTCAATTCACTTGAAAATTTAAACTTTATCAATATTACTTTGTTATTTATCTTTTCTTTTCTACAAAATATATACCTGGGTTTCCTGAATAAGGCCTCCTCAAGGGAAGAGTCACTGGAAAATTACTGTCATAGTCCTATTGCAAAATCAAACAACCAATACTTCAGAATAAAACAAGCATGAACAATAATTTAACCTCCAATTAAAGATATATTTTTATTTATCTCTGTATACTTACCCATGGTTCTTTGTATTCTTTCTCATTCCCCTGTGATTATAGCATCATCTCAAGATTGTTAATAAGAGGAAGGATCATGCAGCAAATTAAGAGAACATGTTATAGCAATCTATTAAATGAAAATGCATTAGCATACCATTGAATGCTGAATTCTGACTTGTGTTGGTACTAATCCCACCCCTCCCTGGAAATACTGTATGATTTTATAGAAGTTGATTCCCCACCATAACCAAAAGCAATTTGAGAAGCTGACACTGGAACCATAAATATGAACTACACAATTTTAGAAAACATAAACAAATATAGTCATAAAACTATTTTATTAATTACTTTAATGATGGAAACATTTGCCTACATCTTTATTAAAAGGGTTTATCGGAGAAATTATTAGATAATTCAAAATTATCAAGTGTTTATAACCTCAATTAATCATTATATAACATATATTTAATTTTTAATCTATAAATATTTTTTAATAACACATTATTACATGTCATATAAAAATTAGATAAGGATTATCAGATCTAGGACCACTAACTAGTTTCTTGAGTTTAATAGTATAATATAAAAACTTTTACACTATTAATGAACACAATCTCAACCAATCGTTATATAACATATATTTAAATTTTTTAATCTACAAAATCTTTTTAATAATACATTATTACATTTCATATAAAAATTAGATAAGGATTATTAGATCTAGGACCACTAACTATTTTCTTGAGTTTAATAGTCATGCATCAATAATATAAAATCTTTTACACTATTAATCTATAAAATGACATATTTTAAAGATAATTATTATAAAAAAATAATTAACAAGCTTTATATAATAGTTTGTGATTAGATTATACCATAAAACTGTTTTTTTTTTTACTGTCAGGACATGCATATCTTTTATTCTCTTATTAGAAAAAGTAAGATTTATTTTAACAATTAAGTTACAAAAAACAAAATCATCAAACGCGGCTTAATACGATGGAAACTAAAACCAACGATGAAGACATAAAAGTCAGATAAAATTGGATCAGAGAATTTCAATTTCAAGTTGAATAAGCAACAAACATATTAACCTTTTTTCTCAACTTTGAGCTTTGCCTTCATTGCACTCTCCTACAAAAATAATAAAGAAAATTAAGAAAATTTCAAAAAATAAAAAAAAAAATAAAAAAGATGAATCATACCCATCAAACTGAAATCATACATACATTGAACCGCCGCAGCAGATCCTTAGCCTGATCTTCATCAACATCATCAATCACTTCACTGCATAAACATAAAAGAAAAAACTAAACTAGAACAAATATTACAAGAAATGTTATATACAGTTACATATAAAAAATGTTATTATAGGTATAATACATGTAAGTATATATCTATTTGACTTATAGTTAATTTTAGTGTTGATTTTGAATGAGATTTAATAACATATTTTGTGTGTCACTATAACATATACCTATACTTTTTTAACAATATACTAATATATATTATATTTATTGAATGAATAAAAGTAATTTTTAATTATATGTATTGAATCACTATAGATTGTGTGTCACAATAACATAACTTTTTTTTAGTAAAATTAGAATAACCTTAAATTAAGCAACATTACATAAATTATTGTCAAAAGCATATGATACATACGTTTTAACTTCTTTCTTTGGCACTTGACGAGGTGGAGCTCTCGGAACAAATTTTACCTACAATTACTCAGATTATTGGGAAGAACCACAACAGGAATTGAATAATTTGTTTTGTGATATAATAAAAAAAAAATTGTATTGGTAGTGAGAAACTAATGTATTTTTAACAGATTCAAACCAAACCTTTCTTTTGGCACGAGTAGCGTCTTGTGAAGTCTCGAAATCCATGTCTCTAATGAAACCAAATCAAGAATGAAAACGAATGCAAACTAAGATGTTGCTATACCTTAATAAGAACTGCCAACAATCTTAAGAAAAGCCAGCAGAGTATATTATATTGTTTTGAATTTTCGCAGAAATTATTCGCATGAAATATAGAGCCAAGACAGAATCACCTCATAATTGATTAGAAAGATACCAAATAAAAAAGAAACATGAAGCTTCAAGGTTCGATGATTGTAAAATATTGATATATGTTTATTATATCAAAGCATCACAAAAGATATTGATATATTTAAGGATCACAAAAATATTTCTTTTTGGGGATATTTAGGATAAAATCCGCTACAGATAATAAATAGATAATTTAAATGGATATTTACTAAGTATGGGTATTTGTTTACTGTTTATAAATGGGACAGGGATGGATACAATAATATCCATATCTATGGACACCAACTAAATAATATTAATTGAATATTCATATTTTTATCTTATATATTTATATCAATTTTAATATTTTAAAATAATTATCATTAATTATAAATTTAAAAATTAATATCAATAATTTTTTAATATTTCAATAAACTTAACATCAAATATAAGTTTAAAGTTATTTATAATAATTATATTTTTAATTTTAAAAATAAAACACAAATATTCATGGATATATGTGAATACTTATAAAATTTGCGGGTATCCGCACAGGTGTGAGACAAGTATAGGTGATAGATTTTTATCTAATGGAACGAATAAGGGTAACTTACTACTTGCTCACACGAGTATCGTCGTCATTCCTAGATATATTATATGTGAAATATTTAATACTCATGAGTGTGTCCATTTCAATTTATTCCCATATAATAACATATTTTTCTTTTTAATTATATTTTTTTTGTCATATGGTTTCAAAAAATCTTAAATTCTCGCATGAAATATTATTTTTCAAGGTGGATGTATATGAGAGAAAATTAAACTTTGTTTCCTTTTTTATAAAAGTTACTACTATTTTAGTATGTGTATTTTACAATACTATTTTAGTATGTGTATTTTACAGGTAAAATATTTATTATATATAACTAAAATTTTATAATAAATTATATAAAAAACTAAATATTGTCTTTGAACATATAAATTATATTTAAAATTTAAATAGATATTTTTAAATAAATAAATTATTTTTAGATATAAAACAAATAATTTATATTGTGACAAAAGATTATTTTAAGACTTAAATATATTTTTAGTCTCTCAAATTTGGGATAATTTTTTTTTATCCCTCAAATTTAAAATTGTTATTTTAGTTCCTATAATAACTAATAATATATTTGAAAGTCACATATTAAAATAATTATGTAGTATCAGTTAGATTTAATGTAATATTTTTATTAACAAAGAAACCAATAGGTAGATTTTATGTGATAATGTTAGACAAAATTTCTAACAAAATTTGAATATAAAAACTAAAACAACATTTTTGGAAATTATAAGGATTAAAAAAATCAATTTTAAATTTGAGAGATTAAAAATAAATTTACATTTCTTTACAAAAAAAATCATGACTATCTATGAAAAAAATTAGTAGGTAAAGTCAAAAATTTGTACTAGTGAAAAAAAAAGACTTTTAAAATCGATTATTTTTATTTAAAATTGGTTTTTTAACAGATCTTAAAATAGCCAATTTTAAAAAATTGGAATTTTAAAATTGGTTACTAACCGATCTTAAAAATGTACCTTTAAGTTCGGTTATTGAACAATCGTTCTTAAAAGTTGTGGCTTTTACACGAAACCTTTTGAAGTCTCCACTTTTAAAATTGTTTATGCCATAACCAATTTTAAAGTCTAATTTTTAAGATCGATTACACCATAACAGAGGTGTAACCGATCTTAAAAGTGGTGAATTTTTTTAAAAATATTTTGCTTGTTTAGGGAGTGTCCTAGAACAAAACCTACAAATTAATAAATACCAGGCAGTTTAAATGCTTTCAATTAACTTAAATGTTTACATTTCCTATGTTACTTCTCAATGAACCAAATTACATACAAATGGGAAGGGATGATAAATGTGAACCATATATATAATCAAAAAGTTTTAAATACATGTAATACATAAATGTGTCCCATTGCTCAATGATACATAAGTCATAACTAGTCAATGCAACACTATAAACCGCAAGTCCAAACTAGTCAATGTAATGGTCAATGAAAAATGTGAACCATTGCTCCCTAATGGTGTTTATGTTGTCTAACGGCAATGATGATCGATCTCTAAATATCTATTAAAAAAATTAGAACAATTAGTAATAATTCATAAAATATATAAAATGAGAACTTAAAATAAAAACTTTCAAAATTGAAAAACTTACTTCAACTCACGCAGATACTATTTGTGAATCAACAATAGTATGCATTGTCTTTATTACATAGTATCCACACTCATAATTTCCTTTTTGTTTATGAGACTAAAAAAATAATATAAAATCAATTTCAATATTAATGGTAATTCAAAAACAAAACACCCTAAAAAATATTATTGTTGGAATTAAAATATCTTACTTTAGGAGAGATCCAACTCATTTTTTTTCTTCAACTTTAAATCCTTTAGTATATGATATCCTTCCACGGCCCTAATGATAAAATGATATTATGATTATAGTTTAAAATCAAATATATTGAAAATAAATAATAGAAAGTGGATGGTTTTAAACAACTTACTTATCTAATAATTGTCTGAATTCCATAGGAGAAGGTTTATGTAGTGAACAAATACATACAACTATATTGTCCATATGACAAATAATTAGAAGTTGCCAATGAAAACTGCATTGAGAAAATATTAGTGATAGGGAATACTTTTTTTAAAAATAGTTTATAAACAATTATATGAAATAGACTTACTCAGAAAAATAAGGGGCTAAGTAAACTTTTTTATTTGAGTCAGACATTCAATTTTAGATGTAAGTTTATGTTACTTATGCCTTGTTCCTGCTTTTTTTTATTGACTCAGGTTCCAAATATCCATATATGTGATCATTCCCCTGATCCACACTCAATTTATGGATAAATATACAAGGTTAGAAATAAAGTTAGAATAAATCAACAAAACAAAATTAAAAATAATTCAAATACTTACAACAACCAAAACTGCAAAGTTGATATGTTCAACATACAATGACCGTTAGTAATCTTTGATATGTCACTTTAACTTATATACAAAGGTATTTTATTGGGTTTGTCAAATACTTCAAGAATTCAAGGGACCTGTTTGGGTCGCTTGTCATCTTCCATATCTGTAACTAATCTCCATAGCCATTTTATCAAAGGTAAATTTCTAGAAGGGGTAACCATGGCCTTCCCTTTACCCTTTGGTGAGGTAACAATGTTCTATTCCACAAAGTACAAAATTAATATTATACTATATTATAATAAAATAACACCAACATAAAATTAAATATTAATTAAATAACGTACTTTCATAAATATCACCTTCACCAACTTATGAGGCCATTGAAGGAAGGTGTTCAAGGTCTATCCCATCGTGTGAACCTCTTGTGTGGGCACAAGAACTCTAGCCTTTGGGTGTCTAACATCCAAAACTAAAAACCTAACCATATCAACTCCCATGGCCTGATGGTCTATAGTGGACCCTAAAATGTGAATCCTCCCTATGCCCACAAGATCAAGTGATCCACCAACAAACAAACAACTCATAGTGATTAGATGTACCAGTGTCAGTGGCAGTAACAGAGAGATCAATAGATGCACATGATGCCATTGTACTCACACGTGCAACAAATGGTTCTATCAGTGGAGCACTTTGTTGAAACTGTTGGCTGAGTGACTGCATATGCTCTTGTGGCTACCTTTGCATGTCCTCTTACAGTTGCTTATAAATCTTTTCTTGCATTCGTCTAAATTTTTCCTCGTAAGTTGCTATAACTTAAGATACCTTTAGTTCCACCAACTGGTCCATCGTGCCAAGTGATTGTGAAAATGATTGTGATCCAAAGTAATAAGTTCGTAGACTATAACCTCCACTAGTAGCCCGAACCCGACCTGGGTGCTTAGGCTTTCCAATTGCAATAGTGAGTATATCTTGGCATCCATGGGAAACAAAAGATCCCTCTATGGACTATTGTTCCAATATATCCTACAATACAAGACAAAAAAATAATTTAATAAACATATATCAACACATATGTTAATTAGAATCATATGTACAAAAAGAATATACTTACTATCTTGTTAACAATCTCCTTTGTTGTCTCAGTTGTAAACTTGCCCTTTTTTATGCGAGCAAACTTCCATAATTCATGGTACATGGGTGGAGAAAGAGGAACACTAACTGTAGTCTTATCTTGGCTAGCTTGATGCTTCATAACCTTCTATTCATCAACTTTTTCTTAAGCCATGAATAACCCCCACGAGACATCACAATAGTGGTGTCATTCTTGGCCTGAATCTCGTGTGCCTTCTTTCTTTTCTCCTACAAAAGTATCATATAATGAGATTAAGGGTAAAAAAGATAATATTCTCAACAACACAAATAACAATGCATATAATCCTAACTTACCAAAAACTCTTCAGTCATTCTAGACTCTACAAATGTATTCCATGTCTCCTGGTCTATAATGGGGTTTTTATGGCCAACAAATTCACCTTTTCTTTTTCCCAAAAATGTAATTATTCGTGAGGCTAGTCTTATATGCCCCTCCACCTCTTAGCCACAATAGAGAGGGTTTTCCTTCTCATGTCCTCTGTCCCAAGTTTCCTACATTTATGATAAAAATGAGTTAGTACATGTCAATATCGTAATGAAGTTTAATAATGAAAATTGTTAAGTATAAATGAAATTTTACCATAATATCTGCTCAAATATGGTTCTTGACAACCTCCTCTACATGATCCCAATTGGACAATAAAATAGAAACCTTAGTTCTAGCATGAACCCCCATGGTACTTATAAACTGGGCAGCTGAGTCTCTCGTAGGTTTCCTAGTGATCTCATCAATATCAACATGCAACCTCTCCTCATGGAGGCGTTTGGATGTGACATTCTTCGTTATAGTGGGACCTTTGACTTTCTTCTTGGCTGTAATCTGTGTAAAGCCTAAAGGAGAGTCTTGATGTTCATCCATGTTTCTCTGTTAACACAAAACAAAATAAATTACAAGTCATTAGTATAAATTGAATTTATAACAAATAGTACTTAAATGGCAACAAAAATATAAGTATAAATAGAAGTTAATAACAAAAAAAACTATAATAACCTATTTTGGAAATATGATCAAGTTTGAATGTTCTCCCATATTTCTTCTTGATTATCATCACGAGTGGCATGTACATCATCAACATCATCTTCTTCATTAATAGTTAGCACAAGTGTTGATAAATAAAGAGTATCCAGAATATCAACTGAATCTCCAAATTCATCACCTACATTGTTACTTCTACCTTGTAGAACAACTGATCACCTATTATTAGATGGATCAGTGACATAAAATACTTGTTTTAGTTGGATAGTCATGATGAAAGGGTCTTCCTTATGACCAACTTTATTAAGGTCGAACAAGGTAAATCCAAGTTCATCAATTTTAACACCACTATTACTTGTTAAGTTAGACGAAGCAATTCCTAGCAAAGTTTTGAATGAGACAAATATAATACATATTATTATTTCTGACATGTGTGTTAGTGTTTCAGAAAAACATAAGTACAGACAAGTTGAAGAACAGAGCACGTGCCACTTCTTATACTAGAACCAAGATAAAGGAAGGAAAGCTTCAAGCATCAGATGGAAAGGTCAAACGAAGCCAAGTCTAGCACAAGAAGGAAAATGATCAAGCTTCAGACGAAGCGCATTTAAGAACGAGAAGATGTCCATACAGACCACAGACGAAACCTCTTCAAGTACCAGATGAAGATTAGTCAAGGCAAAGCACAACACGAGGATCAGACAAAGCAAAGTCAAATGCAAGATGAAATATGACATGAGCACCAAACGATGTTGGATCAAATACCAGACGTAGGTGTGTCAAGCACAACATAAAGCGCAACATAAGGATTCAGACGAAGGTTGGTCAAGAATCAGACGAAAGACAACTTCATATTAGACATAGGACAACACAGACTGAAAAGCATTCCAGATAGAAATGAAGTTTTTCCATCTACAAGATTGACCAAAGCAAAGGAACTCAAAGCATTGATGACAAATGCTCAGACAAAGATCAAGTCTTGAGATGCACATGGACTACCAGACGTAGACGAAGACTGTCATGCAAGCATTTGAAGAATCAAGTCTCAAGGGACAATTCAAGCATTGTCTATAATCATACAAAAAGCTCTTAATATGATCGCGTGCTGGAAGGAAAAGAAGAAGAAGAAAAAGAAATACAAGCCCAAAAGTCAAAGCATGCATGTGTCAGAAAAAGTACATTACTTTTTTCAGATAAAGACAACGCCTCTGCAACTACGATGACCAAAAAAGGACAAGAATTTCCTAGGTCACAGTTAAAGTCAGACACTGCAACTAAAACTTGGAAGACTTCACGCAATGTTTATAAACAGGAAGCAACATTTAATGCAAAGTCAAGTGATTTAAATGAGAAATCGAACTAGTTATGAATGACTACATGCTGCTTCAACGGACACTTGCAACGGGCAGATTTTATAGAGGCTATAAACATGTCATGACTCCAAACCTGGAACGGCTGGCGAAGAGTGATTCCAATCCCAAGAAGCAACAAAACCAGAGACAGAGCATACATAGTCAAATGTACAATATTGTATTTATCTTTGTAGACTAAGGAGTTCTAAGTGTAACTTTGGAACATAAACCCTAGTGAGTGCAGTAAATCTTTGTATCCTCTTTGTGAGAGTAAACCACACACTCAAGAAATTTAGAACCTCTGAAGCAAGCCTTTTATAAGAGAATCTTCCCAAATGCGTGCGGGGCGCGTTTTGGCAGCCCTTTGCTCTACAAAATCCTCAATATCACTTAGAGTTTTATAAAGAGGGGGAAGCTATGCAAATTTTTCGATTTGTAATCCCTTGGCTAGAGGGTTTCTTATATAGCCAACTAGGAGGCAGAAGCATAAGAAAGCTATCCGATATGGGACAAATTTATAAAAATACAATATTTTTCTAAGAACCATGCAAGACCTCTAAAGAACTCGTTAACCGTCGGATCATGCTGGTTTGTTTATGGTATCCTCACAATATATTTATCTTCAATATCAACGGTTGGATCATTTAAATTAGGTCTATAGTGCGAGATATTGTCATAACAAAAACATTGTTTGGTATAAGACTCATATTTTTCACCTGCAATGCGTGGCCTCAATAGAAATCATAACTGTTGGATCATGCTAAAAATTTGATGATATCTTCTTAATACATTTATTTTTAAATTCAACAGTCTGATCGTGAAAATTCGGTCTTTAGTGAGAGATATTATCAAAACAAAAATGCTACCTAACGCAAAATTTTCTGGAAAAGGGAACAGGCCGTTCTGATTTCAGAACGGGCCATTCCAACATTGGGAATGTTCTGTTCCAATTTGGGAACGGCTAATCTATGCCTTGAATTAGTTTTTTTTTGAGTTTTCTAGGCCTTTCGGAGCCATCTTGGCCTGTTTAGGTGCTCTATTGGGCCCTTAGGGACCGTACATGCTGCTTTTTCCAACTGTAGTCTGAGACTTCTAAAAAATTCGTTAATTGTTGGATCATGCTGAAATTTTGATGATATCTTCTCAATACTTTGATATTTAACTTCGACGGTCGGATCATTAAAATAAGGTTTGTAACGAGAGATATTATCATGACAAAAATGTTTCCCAACGCGTTGGGCCACTCTAGGGTCGTTTGTCTCGCTCTAGTAGACCTTTGTCCTTGGTTTGGGTACCCTGGACGAAATTGGGTGTCTACAACTATTAGTAAATTTTTCATCCTAATAGAGCTACCATCCCTTTTTCAAGCCACCAGCTGTAGCAAACCAACTTGTATTACTAAGTTTCCCTTCCTTAGCACACTCTAAGGGGGATGATTATAAGCCTCCAACACAAGATGCAGTGTTGAACCTAACTTGAGAAAATATATTCTCGAATTCCTCTTGTCGTTAATAAATAAAGATGTTATTTTATTATATATATATATATATA